TCTTCAGTTACAAATATCAAAGAGAACATAATCCAGATTCAATGTGTGGTAGCCATCTTTACGTGGCTTATTTTTTTATATTAGCTTGAGCCTATTGCTTTAAACTGAAGCCTTCTAAGCCTGAAATGGCGCTGGCGCTATGGCTGCTGGCTCCGCCCACTTCAGCTTCCCAACATGGCGGTGGTACGTTTTCCGCCAGCTCTGGGAGCCATCAACTCTCAGAAATAGTGGGTCTATGCTTCTAGCAAAGCAGCGTGTAGCCCAGAAACCTCTTTTTTTTTTTTTGTACTAGCAAAGGCTAAATCCACCACACAGCTTAATGTGCCACTTGCAGAGGCCTCATTCCCGCCATACTGCAGGTCGAGCATGCACGCCAGGAACCCGCCATAGTAGCTCAAACACACAGGCTGCCGCTAGCTTGAAAGAGACAACTAGGAGCTGTTTTTAGCTCTGTTTTAGAATCTTTTTACTCAGGTTTTAGGTGGAAACTCTTGCCAACATGTTGGGTGCCATTTGTAGCTTGAGTTTTCCTGCCTGGCCCACAGTCAGGACAAATCTCTCTCACCTGCCAGTCCCACAGCCACTCAGACCCAACCAAGTAAACACAGAGACTTATATTGGTTACAAACTGTATGGCCGTGGCAGGCTTCTTGCTAACTGCTCTTATAGCTTAAATTAATCCATTTCTATTCATCTACACCTTGCCACATGGCTCGTGGCTTACCGGCATCTTCACCTGCTGTTTTGTCATCATGGCGGCTGGCAGTGTCTCTCTGACTCAGCCTTCCACTTCCTAGTTTTTTTTCCTCCTTGTCCCGCCTATACTTCCTGCCTGGCCACTGACCAATCAGTGATTTATTTATTGACCAATCAGCAACACATTTGACATACACGACCATCCCACAGCATAACACAGTCAGAGAAACTGCTCTGCAATACTTTTATTCTTACGCAAGAAGAAACCGGGAGATTACAGAATTAAGCAGCAAATATGGCTCACTCTGCCAGCAAGTGATAAGACTTGGAATTTGTAACTCATAGTTTAACTCTAGATGCCATTGCTATCCTTCCCACCATGCTATCCCCAATGCATTTTAATAGTGTAGTAATCAAAGTTGAGAGCACACGTGTCCACATACAAACGTTCACTATTTACACTTCAAGGAAGGAAAAGTATGTGATAAAATAGAGAAAATCTGAGAAAAAGTGAATACCTTTATTGCTAATATATAGATAGTTCATGTAAATTTGTATAAAAAATACTAAGAAGTCAAAGCAATAACTGGAGAAATGCAAATTAGAACAACAAAATATGACAAACTGGCAAAGCCATCTTTGTTATGCTATTTGTTGGTGACAGCTGTGGTATTTGCTGGTGAGAAAGAAGAACATGGCATTTCCTCAGGACTCTCTAATTGTCCTAAAGGAAGGGGCCTGGACATGAGCTTTGATCTGGAAGTTCCAACCCCCATTGAGACTTCGGCAACTATCACGCCTACAAGGCGGGGCCAAGGGAGGCGCCTGGAGACCGGAGATCTGGATGGGCCAGCGCTCTCTCTCTGTTCCAGGACCCTGGATGGTGGAGGTGGGCCAAGCAGAGCTCCAGAGAACACCGCTGGACTGTGATACACCTTCCCCAGACCCCTCGACCTACCTATCCCTTAATTTGTAAGTTACACCATTAAATAAATCTCCTTTTAACTACGTGGAGTGGCCTTAATAATTTCACCAATATGAGGCAGCAGGGGAAGCAGTACTGGTGTGTGCCTCCTCATTGTGGCTAGAGCAACGGAGGAAAAACAAAGTTAAGCACAAACTGTGGTTTGTGCAAATGAAGTGACAATATTTCAAAGCAGGCCACAAAAACCTGGAGATTTCAAGACAAGAAAATTACCTGAACTGCTAACTGTTTTGATGAACAATTGAAAAACTAATAACACACTGATAAACTACTGATAACTAATGAGTGAATCCATGTTTACAAATCAATTAGGAATAATATAAACCATGGGGAGAGGGGAAGTGGGTAAAGATACAGATAAAGTTTTCTGAAGAAATATGATGTCTAATAAATATATGAAAAATAAGTAACAATAATTAAAATGGAAATGATAGTGACAAAGATGAGATTGAGGATATCTAAAGAGAGCCAGAGCTTGAGAAAGAAGTACTCGGGGCCAGTGAGATGAGTCAGTGGGTAAAGATGCTTGCTGCCAAGCCTGACTGATGACCGGCATTTGATCCAGTTGAATATGTAGTTGAAAATGTTACAGTATATTGAGGAAAGCAAACCTTTCAATAACTTCACGAATAATGTCTAGTCTATGTTAGTTTCTCCTTCCATAAAAACACTTCTAAGCACTTTGTCTGCTGATGTAATATAAGAAGTTCCAGTACTATTTTATTAGTACACTATGTACATTTTGAAGTTTGGCCATCCACAAGTCAGTCCAAGTGTTAGGCACTTCATGCATAGTCTGTTCCATGCAATTCAGTGTGTCTAATGCTCCAGGCTCTTCCCAATAAACTTCCTTGTATTCTTTAATACTAATATAACCCAAAGTACCTACAAAAATTCCTAATATCTCCAATTTTGCTTGAACTAGTATTTCTTCTTTGCTTGTCTGTGATTTATGCTTTTATAAAGGGGATTTTCTGAGAAAAATAAAAGTTTTAAAAGCCGTCAACAGACAAAAATGGCATCTTTCCTGGGTCTGAATTGTAAAGAGCAGATTAATGGAAAGGGCCTGGGGTAAGCCTCTAGAGACCTGGGGATGGAACCTAGTGAGATGTTGAAGCTGTCACAGACACCTGTGAGCCTCAGCTCATAAGGTTTTCCACCTGAAAGGGCCTTACAAAGAGCCCCGCCTACCTATTTCAAGAGGCTTGAGAAACAAGAGGAGGGAATGATATATTCATCACATGTGCTGAGCAAGCACTAGCATCACGACCATGCAGGGGCTGGCAACTGCTCAGAGGAAGCATGTACCTGGTAGCATGGGAAATACTCCCTGCCAGTCCTGTAAGGGGAGTCTGCAACATGGAACTAAGCAGACGTCCACCCCAGAGCCCAGCCTGCAATCTTCATCAGGAAAAGTGGATGGAGGAGTCAGAGCACTGGGTAAAGCAGGAACTGACTCATTTGGCCTTTCGAGACAGACATTACATTTTTCTTCTGGTTTACTTTTTATCATTTTTTAATAATGTTTTAATTTTATAAGATTTATTATTAAAACCTGCAAATAAGTAAAAACATCACACACTAAAATGAACCAGTGTCAAGGCATCTGAAAAGAAGCTGTAGAGCCTCACACTAAATTTATATTTTCAGTATCAAATAAGTTTTATGTACTCATCCATGTTTTCAAGACATTTTAGTAGTCAGTTGGATGAGATAATGTGTTTCATTTTTTCACTCATATTTATAATGAGTGGTATTTTCCTAAGTCTAATGTTGCCCTTCTGGGGATAATGCTAAATGTAAATTATACACAGAAATAGTTAATGTCTTTATAACCTTTTATTCTATATGTGCATTAGAAGACACTTAAATAACTAATTCTGTCCACACATGCAGTGACAAGGCTGCACTGCCTTACACACTCTGCCAACCCACAGTGTGCACACAGGGCCTTCCCTGGACTCTTACAGATGACAGCTTTGTCTTCTGTGACACCAAACTCTTTCCTGCACAGAAGTAGTGGACTTGCTTTACATGCAAAGAAAAAATCCCTCTTATAGGCCCAAAAGCAAAAGGATAAAAATTTTAAAATGTAACAGGGTGAGGTATTACACCCCTATAATTCCAGCACTAAGGAATAAGAAGCAGGAGTTCCAGGCCAGTGAGTCTGGGGCCAGCCTGAGCTACCTACCAAGACCCTGCCTAAAAACAAAAACCAAACCATGAACAATGATGAAAAAATCAAAATCTGATCTTCCAAGAATTCCCCCACTTCTCTCTCTCCCTCTCTCTCCCTCCCTCTCTCTCCTTCCCTCCCTCCCCCCCCCCCTCTCTCTCTCTCTCTCACACACACACACACACACACACACACACTTTAAAAGTGATATTCGCCGGGCGGTGGTGGCGCACGCCTTTAATCCCAGCACTCGGGAGGCAGAGCCAGGCGGATCTCTGTGAGTTCGAGGCCAGCCTGGGCTACCAAGTGAGTTCCAGGAAAAGGCGCAAAGCTACACAGAGAAACCCTGTCTCGAAAAACCAAAAAAAAAAAAAAAAAAGTGATATTCATCTCCTAGACAAATGATCTCTAGACTCATGCAGAATAACCCTTTCTGCCCTACCAGAGTCCACCTGGCTATCTCTGATCTGCCCTTCCCTGAGCTCAACCATGAACCCAGGCAATCACAGCACAGGCTCTTCTTTCTGATTTCTTATGTCACTGATGCATTATGTGTCCAAATGTACGTTTAAGCACCCTCTCATTTTCTACTTCAGGGATGTCCTTTAATTGAACACTGTCATCTGAGAATGCCAATATCTTAACCATATTTTGCACACTAAACAGAGTTCAACACTATTCCACATATAACATTCAAAATCATGTATATTTTTAAATATACTTGGCTTTAAAGCTTCCATCAAAATATTCTATCCAGAACTTTATTTCTTCAATGTTTTTCTCTACTTAAGTTTAAGCCATATTAAGTTATAGACTTTAACTGTTTAAACTTTCTAGAAGATAATTAATTTTCTCATGTGTTACAGTAACACAATATATATAAAACATTGTTATGAGTGTATATGTTAAATATGATTTAAATAAAAATATTTTCTCCTTTGTCCATTTGTGTTTCTATTGCCCTAATTCCATAAAATTAATGGAAATCATCACAAATATTGTTTATGGTCAGCCTAAGAAAGCAAATGCATACTCAACTAAACTTCAGAATAAAAAAATCAGATTACATATGATTTTTCTTTTTAGTAATTTATCTTTCTTTGAAAAACAGAATTTGAAGTTAACTATGAAACATGGTCTTACCCTTTTCTTGGCCACCACAGCAGCTTTAGCACCTGCTTTGGCTCTATCTGTAAGATAATACAATATGTCTACTTTAAAAAAGAACTCATCCTTCTGTTAGAATAGGTACACAAGTACAAAACTAGAGTTTTCTACTTTGTCACACATTAGTAACAGGACTGTTTCAGTGGCCCTTTGAACTAAATACTAATAAATTTACCTCCTCCGAGTTGAGTACAGCTCAGTAATCCAAAAGCCATAAAATCAAGAAGGAACTCTTATCTGATGAATGTCCTTTAAATTTTATTTGCTAGCATCCAGTCTGCCTAATTTCAGGTTTCTGGTCAGTCTGTGCATTCTAGAGTACATAGACTCTAGAATTAAGTCCATGGTATCTCTACTTGCATACCTGTTATATGTGCTGGATACTGGATAAGAGTATCATATAAACTGTATATAACATTTAAAGGCATGCAGTCCATCTTCCTTGTACAACTGAGGAAATCAATACCCCAGCACACTGCCTGTGGTTGCATTCACAGAGTAGACCCATTTGATTACAAGCCCCTATTCTGCCCAGGGTGTCTGTTGCCTCCATTTGGGACCACTGAGGTACCAGCACTGCATCAGCTAGGATTCAACAAGAAAGTGGACACTGGTATCATTTCTCAGACTACCACTGAAACCAGAATATTTAGTAGCCAACTAGCTCATGAAAAATATTCCAGGATGTTATTTTGGTATATACAATATACATGTAGTCCTAATATTAGGACTACAGAATGTATGTACATATGTTGGTAAAAACCTGACAGAGAATCATTCTTCTCTGAATATGTGGCCACTGGGAGGTTTCCTATGCCCCGTGGATGGCCTACACCCATGCACTTATGGGCAGCACTAATTGGACATAGTGGGCTATTAAAGGAAACATGTTAAAGGAGGGAGATGTTGGGACATACAGGGGTAGTTGGAGGGGGAAATAGGGAATGTATGTGTCATGTATCATTGTACACATGTATAAAGTTATCAAAGAATATTAAGAACTGGCAGAAAATAAACACTCAGGGAAGTATGTTGTATTTATACGTACCAGTGGCTTCCACATGTGAAATGCCCTCTTTCTTGTATCCCCTAATGCTTATGATAACCCTCCTCCAACAAAAAACATTTTCCTTCATTTAAGAACACACAGACTATTTATTGACCATTAAAGGCAACTCCTCCAATTAGGAGGAATTTCCACCTTTTTCTGAAATTTTGCATATGCCTAAACATTATGCAAAATGGGGCTAATCATCAAAGTTAATAATAAAGTTTATATGCAGTGGATGTTTAATACCATCCATGACCTTTGTAAAATTGTGACTCTAAGCTTCTTTAAGTGTGGCAGCTGAAAGTGCCTTCTTCCAAAGGTGAAAGACAGGCCAGCTTCTGGTAAGGCACATAAGGAACGTAAAAGTTGCTACATCTCATTATGTTAAGGGCTAACTGAAATTAGATACATGAAAGAAGAGAGGTTCTTGGGGCATACTTTTGCTCCCAAATCTGGGAGAAACAGATCAATGTAGAGAATTAGGATTTACCTGAGCAGAAACATGTAGACAGAATGTTACATGACAATCAGTCTAGGGATAAGAAAATCTGAACCCTAATTGGCACAGCCCTGGAGACTAAATGTGGACAAAGCTGTGAAACAAAACCCATCACGGGCAGGGTAGGAGACCTGGAACTCTTCTGTGAGTTCTTCCTCCTGGAGAGCCACCAAGTTCTCATGGAGAAAGCTGGAGAAAACTCACCCAGATATCTGGCAGATGTTCTTAACAAGATCTGCTCACAAAAGAAGCTATCTTACTACTGTCCAATGCATTAAAATTTTTTCAGAGCCTCACTCATTGTGGGGGAGTAAAATACACAACTGTAGCCCCCTGTAGTTGTCCTCTACCACATAATGAATGAAGAAGAAAAACATGGGGAGGAGGCTTGTCAAGTTCATAGCCTAGAACTGAGACCTAATACTAGGACTACAGAATGCTCCCTCAACCCCCACACCTCAGCACTGTCCAGCTGACTAAAGGCCAAGCCTAAAGTTCCTGTTATACAGTATACCACACTCACCTTTCAATAAAAGATTATAGGTCATGCTAAAAGTCAAAAAACTAACAACTTTGAAGAGAGATTGAGAAATGGATGGATAGATAGACAGATAGGCAGGCAGATAGAACCTATATGGTCAGTGTGGTAGAGTTATCAGATGATTAATGTGAAATAATTATGTTTATCATGCTAAGAAATCTAATGTTAAGAGCTAAAGCAGCAAAAGCAGATGGTGATACAAAGAAACATGAAACTTCTAAGAGTCAAAAAGAAATGCTAAAGGATGGAAGGCACCGCGACAGGATGAAGAATGTCTTTGTTGCTTGATCAGTAAAGAGGGTGCAGCCTAGGGAATGAAGCTCTAGGCTTGAGACGATATTAAGAGAAACTAACCAAAGTGAAGAAAGACAAGAAATAAAAAAGGAAGGGAGGGGTGGGAGGAAGGTTAGGTGGGCTGGGCATGGTGCTACATTCCTATAACCCCTGCATTTGGAGGCTAAGGCTGAAAGATTGACATATAAATAAATAACAAGTGGCCAAAAGACCTAAAAAGACACTTCAGCAAAGAAAACACAAAGGAACAAATATGTATATGACAGTATTGAGCACCAGTGAAAACCAGGGCCCTCAAAAACCACGAGATGAGACCCACTTCAGAGAATGTCAATTGTAACACAGTGCTGAGAGTATGCAGAGCAAGAGGGATTCTCAGTCACTGATAACACAGCATTGAAAACAGCACGTTTTCAACACAGTATCAGCAACCATGCTTCTTTTTTTTTTCATTTTTTTTTTATTTTTATTTTGCAATACAATTCAGTTCTACATATCAGCCACGGATTCCCTTGTTCTCCCCCCTCCCGCCCCCCTCACCTTCCCCCCAGCCTGCCCCCCATTCCCATCTCCTCCAGGGCAAAACCTTCCCCTCAGACTGAGATCAACCTGGTAGACTCAGTCCAGGCAGGTCCAGTCCCCTCCTCCCAGGCCGAGAAAAGTGATCCTGCATAGGCCCCAGGTTTCAAACAGCCAACTCATGCAATGAGCACAGGACCTGGTCCCACTGCCTGGATGCCTCCCAAACAGATCAAGCCAATCAACTGTCTCATCCACTCAGAGGGCCTGATCCAGTTGGTGACCCCTCAGCCATTGGTTCATAGTTCATGTGTTTCCGTTCGTTTGGCTATTTGTCCCTGTGCTTTATCCAACCTTGGTCTCAACAATTCTCGCTCATATAAACCCTCCTCATTCTCGCTAATTGGACTCCCAGAGATCCACCCGGGGCCTAGTCATGGATCTCTGCATCCAGATCCCTCAGTAGTTGGATGAGGTTTCTAGCACGACAATTAGGGTGTTTGGCCATCCCACCACCAGAGTAGGTCAGTTCGGGCTGTCTCTCGACCATTGCCAGCAGTCTGTTGTGTGGGTATCTTTGTGGATTTCTGTGGACCTCTCTAGCACTTTGCTTCTTCCTATTCTCATGTGGTCTTCATTTACCATGGTCTCCTATTCCTTGTTCTCCCTCTCTGTTCTTGATCCAGCTGGGATCTCCCGCTCCCCCAAGCTCTCTTTCCCTCGACCCTCGCCCTTCACTACCCCCACTCATGTCCAGGCTGTTCATGTAAATCTCATTCCATTTCTCTGTCATTGGGTGATCCCCGTGTCTTTCTTGGGGTCCTGTTTTCCAGGTATCCTCCCTGGTGATGTGAGTAGTAGTCCAGTCATCCTTGTTCCACATCTAGTATCCTCCTATGAGTGAGTACATACCATGTTTGTCTTTCTGAGTCTGGGTTACCTCACTCAGGATGATTTTTTTCTAGATCCATCCATTTGTCTGCAAACCTCATGATGTCATTGTTTTTCTCTGCTGAGTAGTATTCCATTGTGTATATGTACCACATTTTGTTTATCCATTCTTCAGTTGAAGGGCATCTAGGTTGTTTCCATGTTCTGGCTATTACAAACAATGCTGATATGAACATAGCTGAACAAGTGCTCTTGTGGTGTGGTTGAGCATTCCTTGGGTATATGCCCAAGAGTGGTATAGCTGGATCTTGGGGGAGATGGATTCCCAATTTTTTAAGAAAGCGCCATATTGATTTTCAAAGTGGTTGTACAAGCTTGCATTCCCACCAGCAGTGGAGGAGAGTTCCCTTAGCTCCACATCCTCTCCAGCATAAGGTGTCTTCAGTGTTTTTGATCTTAGCCATTCTGACAGGCGTAAGGTGGTATCTCAGAGTTGTTTTGATTTGCATTTCCCTGATGATTAGGAATGTTGAGCAATTCCTTAAATGTCTTTCAGCCATTTGAGTTTCCTCTGTTGAGAATTCTCTGTTTAGTTCTATAGCCCATTTCTTAATTGGACTGTTGGGCATTTTGATGTCTAATTTCTTGAGTTCCTTATATATTCTGGATATCAGTCCTCTGTCAGATGTGGGGTTGGTGAAGATCTTTTCCCATTCTGTAGGCTGTCGCTTTGCCTTGTTGACCGTATCCTTTGCTCTACAAAAGCTTCTCAGTTTCAAGAGGTCCCATTGATTGATTGTTTCTCTTAGTGTCTGTGCTACTGGTGTTCTATTTAGGAAGTGGTCTCCTATGCCAATGCGTTCAAGACTACTTCCTACTTTCTCTTCTAGCAGGTTCAGAGTAGCTGGATTTATGTTGAGGTCCTTGATCCACTTGGACTTAAGTTTTGTGCACGGTGATAGATATGGATCTATTTGCAGCCTTCTACACGTTGATATCCAGTTTTGCAGCACCATTTGTTGAAGATGCTTTCTTTTTTTCCATTGTGCACTTTTGGCTTCTTTGTCAAAAATTATATGTTCATAGGTGTGCGGATTAATGTCAGGGTCTTCAATTTGATTCCATTGGTCCACATGTCGGTTTTTATGCTAGTACCAAGATGTTTTTATTACTGTAGCTCTATAGCAGAGCTTGAAGTCAGGGATCGTGATGCCTCTAGAGGTTGTGT